AATTTCAGGTCACATGGGTTCAGATGTACAGATGCAGAGACAGAAACTTGCTTAATAGCTGCCCAAGTATAGATCCGTTAAGGAAGATATGACTCAAGTGGTAAAGCAAGATTATTGTTAGAACACAAGGCTCTATGTTTAAGCCCCAGTATGGGCACACTCAAAAATACAAAAGAAAAAGGTGGCTTGAGGGAAGAGTAAAGTTTCAAGTGAGGATGGCAATCCCTTTTGGGATTAAGTGTTCTTAAATTGGTTATAGTGAATATACCAAGACTGAATTGTACATAGGTATAAATAAGAGAACAAGTGGTATCTGTAGATGCGAATGTGTGAGTGCATCCTGGCTACACCCTAGTTAAAACTGAACACTTTCCCACTGTTAGCTCAGGAGGCAGGGAGGTTTGTTCTATGCAGCCTAAAGCTAGTTAGACAGAAATCTGGAGAGCCCAGGGCAATCCAATGGAGAATGTATGTGTGCAAATGGAAATGATGCCTTAAAAGTTCTTTGGGAATATCAGATACCACATTTGACAAGCCCCACTTCCTCCTCATGAACACAAAACAATCAGTCTGAACTTCATATAAAGAATGTTGTCTGAGGGGCTAGGGGCTAGGAAGGTGGCTCAGTGGTAAAGCGCTTGCCTTGCATGCCTGATGCCCTGGGTTCGACTCTTCAACATAAGCAAAAAGAAAAACACTGGAAGTGGTGCTGTGGTTCAAGTGGTAGAGCGCTAGCCTTGAGCTGAAGAGCTGAGGGACAACACCCAGGCCCAGAGTTCAGGCCCCACGACCGGACCGTCCCCCCCCCAAAAAAAGAATGTTGTCTAAGGGCTGGGAAGGTGGTTCAGTGGTAGAGTGCTTGCCTTGCATCCATGAGGCCCTGGGTTCAATTCCTCAGCACCACATAAGCAAAAAAGAAAAAAAAAGCTGGAAGTGGCGCTGTGGCTTAAGTGGTAGAGTGCTAGCCTTGAGCTGAAGAGCTGAGGGACAGCACCCAGGCCCAGAGTTCAGGCCCCACCACCGAATCAAAAAAAAAAAAAAAAAAGAATGTTGTCTGGAAAATGGTAGTGTGTCCCAAGTGACAGCACTAATATTGAGCAAAATAAAGCCAAGCAAGAGTTCAAGGCCCTACTACATAGGTCAAGTCCTAATACCAATACAAAAAAAGGCAGTCAGAAAAGAATGCACTGACATACACAGAACCAGCACAAATAATAACCAAAAATAAATGAACAATTCCAGTTCTATTTCCTTTTAAGGAATATTAGGTTTTTATGGGACTTGAATTCAGGGCCTAGGCACTGTCCGTGAGCTTTTGTGCTCAAGGCTAATGTTCCAACACTTTGTCACACACAGTCCATTTCTGGTTTTCTAGTGATTAAATGGAGAATCTCATGGGTTTTCCTACCTGGGCTAGCTTTCAACTGCAATCCTCAGTTCTCAGTCTCCTGAGTAGCTAGGATTACAGGCATTAGCCACCAGTGCCAGGCCTGCAGGAATACTTTCTAACTGAACCTGTGTTTACCATTTGCAAATCTATTGTCAGAATAAAATTTGTTATTTTAAGTTCATTTATAACTTAATGTTTGCAGAAGTCATTCTCTAAGAACTAACCTAAAGCCAGCCTGTGTGTGTAGGCAGCTTACACCAGTAATCCTAACAACCAAAAAGTTGAGATTTGAGAATAGAGGACTGAAGACAACTTGAGCAGACAAATGCAAGTCTTATCTCCAATTAATTAGCAAAAAGTGAGAGGTGGAGGTATGGCTCAAGTGGTAGAATTCCATATACAAAACAATGTGGAGGACAGCTAACTCAGTGCAGCCTAAAAATTTTTAGATTCTGGGCATGGACGCACTCCTGTCAGAAGGCTGTCTGTCATCTGATATCCACTGAAGCTTCAAAAATCTCACCTATCTTAGAAAAAGCCAGAAGTGGCACAGTGGCTTAAGTGGTAGAGTGTTGCTAGCCTTGAGGACAGCAACCAGGATATGAATTCAGATCTTGAGGATTGGCACCAAAATTTTTTGTTAATTTTTTTTTCTGTCGGTCGTGGGGCTTGAACTCTGGGCCTGGGCACTGTACCTCAGCTCTTCAGCTCAAGGGGAGGGCTCTACCACTTAAGCCCTACCGCCACTTCTGGCTTTTTTTTTTCTGCTCATGTGGTGCTGCTGAGGAATCAAACTCAGGGCCTCATGCACGCAAGGCAAGCACTCTACCACTGAGCCACCTTCCCAACCCCTTACCAGCCTTCTGATGTGCTGAGATTAATAAAGGTTGTCTCCATACCTGGCTTCCAATTAAGTTTTCACACATTGTAATTTTACTCATAAGACACTATTTTCAAATGAAGTCTTGAAACTTGATATATCTCCAGAGAATCTCCAGTTACTGTCATTAAATCTTTGTACTTACTTTTATAACCACGAAGAGAAAACATCCTCCTAATCTCACTTGAGACATTTACCTCAACAAGCCAGCTCCAATTATGCCTTTCATTTATAAAGTGTTAAAAATTTAAGCATGGCACAGCTGCTGCCCAACACTCTAAAGTCATGTCACCTGATAAATTCTCCTCTTCAAAGCCCACAGGGACAGCTTCTTTCTTTACAAGCCTTCTTCCAAAGCAAACTTTTAACTTTTATTATTTCTATATGCAGGGCTGGTGAACTATTCATGTTTTTCCCAAAGGGAATCCCTTCCATGTCTGCTGTACACAGTGAAATATGGCCTCCAATAAAGGAGGAACAGAGGTCTGCTTGGGCAAAAGAGATTCATGAAATTCACCTTTAATAAGGTTTGACCGATTTGCTACATATTTGAGCTCCAGTTAGTATCAGCTAGATGGACGATTGTGTATCATCACACAAGGCAAGATGGAAGAGCAAAACTCAAGGTATAGCTTCCCCAGTTACGGGATTTAATGGAGAAAATCTTTTGAGTTCAAACCAGGTGATGAGAAGGAGTGACTGATACTGAATGAAAAACCACAATTAGGAGTTCAAGACCAGCCTAGGCTACAGAACTGTTAGGAATTATTACAAGTATGTTCATGTTTTTTTTTTTTATCAGTCATAGGGCTTAAACTCTGAGCCTGGGCACTATCACTCCTTTGCTAAAGCCTAGCATTCTACCACAGAGCCACAGCACCACTTCCAGCTTTCTGGTGGTTAATTGGAGATGTAGGATTGTCTAATGGGGCTGGGAAGGTGGCTCAGTGGTACAGTGCTTGCCTTGCATGCATGAGGACCTGGGTTTGATTCCTCAGCACCACATAAGCAAAAAAAAACTGGAAGTGGTGCTGTGGTAGAGCACTAGCCTCGAGCTGTAGAGCTGAGGGACAGTGCCCAGGCCTACAGTTCAGGGCCCATAAACGACCAAAAAAAACAAAAGTCCAATGGACTTTCCTGCCCAGGCTGGCTTTGAACTACAATCCTCAGAATCTCAGCCTCCTGAGAAACTAGGATTATAGGTGTGGGTTCACAAGTGATACCTAAATTATATAGAGATGATTACAGGATGGAAACCCCAGAAAATCAATCACTTTGCTGGTACAGCAGTATTCTCATAGAACAGTGCACTGGGCAATATGCCTATCCCCTTCCATCAAAATAAAATGGAGCCTGTAGAGAATACAAGATACCTTTGCCTAGGTAAGCACTACCAGTCATTTTACTATATCATGATTTCTTTCAAGTGGCTGCATTGTAAGGATCAAAGTTTGAAGCCAGCCTGGATGTCGTAGTTCAATTGGTCAGAAAAAAATTTCTTAAAAGGTGTGATGGTATATATACACCAATCATCTAGGCAAAAATATGAAGAAAAAAGGCCCAGCTGGTAATGGCACCAACCTAACAAGTACAAGGCCCTGGGCCCAAACTCCAGTGACATCAAAGGAGAAAAAACAACTAAGTTCAATAGTAGAGTGTCTATTACCTGCCATGTTTGAGGCCTCAATCTCCCACAACAGTTTTCTGCCTTTTTTCTTTTTTTTTTTGGTCAGTCATGGGGCTTAAACTCGGCCTGGGCACTGTCCTTCAGCCCTTCAGCTCAAGGCTAGCTAGCACTCTACCATTTGAGCCACAGTGCCCACTTCCATCTCTTTGTCTATGTGGTGCTGAGGAATCAAACGCAGGGCCTCATGCTTGCAAGGTAAGTACTCTACCACTGAGCCAACTTCCCAGCCCCTCCCACAACAGTTCTATGTATATATATATATATGTATATATATATTTTTTTTTTTTTGGTTGGTTGTAGGGCTTGAACTCTGGGCCTGGGTGCTGTCCCTCAGCTCTTCAGCTCAAGGCCAGCGCTCTACCACTTGAGCTACAGCGCCACTTCCGGCTTTCTGGTAGTTTATTGGAGATAGGAGTCTCATGGTTTCTCCTGCCCGGGCTGGCTTTGAACCGTGATCCTCAGATCTCAGCCTCCTGAGTAGCTAGGATTACAGGCATGAGCCACCAGCACCCGGCTGTATATATATTTTTAAAAGCCTGTTGCCAGTGGCTCACGCCTGTAATCCTAGCTACTTCAGAAACGGAGATCTGAAGATCATGGTTCAAAGCCACCCAGGCAATAAAGTCCATGAGACCATCTCCAATAAACTCTGAAAAAAGTGGAAGCAGCACTGTGGCTCAAGTGTTAGATTGTAGCCTTGAACACAGAGCTCCAGAACAGTGCCATGAGTGGGATTACAAAGCACTGGCCTAGCTAGTGCAATGTCCTGGGTTCAGGTTCCCTCCCCAGTACCGAGACCCCCCCAAAAAAAGAGTAAAAACATTTTAGAAACAAAATATTTTCCTTTCTGTTTAAGACAATTCAACCTTCAGTACTATCCCAAAGACCTTATTTCTTTGCAAGACTTGTCATCAATTTTATTGGGTTCATTAAGCACTTTTGTTGATTCATCCAATAATTTTATGCCACAACAATTACTCCAAAATAGAGGGTGGATGGTCACAAGATCCAATCAGGGTAGGGAGGGTTCTTAAGTAACGTACCTTTAAAGCTCTTTTTGCTCTTTATCTGTTCTGTATGTTCTCCAAAGACTTCCACAAAAAGGAGGGGGTGCTGACTTTGGTCCTAGAGACAGCAAGGGAACACTGTAAGGTTAACAGGAAACACATGCAACTGTTTTCCTCAAAGCTGCACTGAAAGCATTACAAAGTTGACTACGTTCTTATTCGGTGTGCTTGGAACAGAATGGTAAAAGTAGGACAGGCCCTTGGAATTCAAATCGACTCCCAGATCCAGTACCACCCTCTCACTCCAAAATACAAACACTTTAGCAGTTTTCCTACCAGGCTGGTGAAAGTGCCCGATTATGCAGGGGGCAAAACGCCGAAGTCAAACCTCAGACCCGTCTTAGCGCTACAGGACTGTAGTTAGCACACAAAAACTTCCTAAAACACCAAACAAGCTTCCCAATGACCGGATGCACCCCAAGTCTTTACAACCAAGGGGGAGACACTCCCAAGTCTTACAAACGAATTGCTTTCACGGAAACCATTCCCCGAAAGCTTGCGGCTCAACTCCGGGCCTCGAGGACCGTGCTCTCCGGCGGCGCGCTACGCCTCCCCGGGAGAGCGCGCCCGGCCCGCACCCGCGAGCGCACGGAGCTGCCCGGGAGGAAGTCATCCCCTCGGCCTGCCTGCGGGCTGCGGCTGCGCTCCCGGACGCCGGGCTGGCGGATGCGGTCACCGAGCGCCGCTAGGGAAATGCACGGCAAAGGGCGCTGCGTTGCAATGTAACGCAAAAGCCCAACCCAGGGAAGAGCGACACAGGGCAAGGAGGACGCGTCCACTCGCCAGCCCCGGCTCCGCCTCCCCGCCAAGACCCCGAACGGCGCCCGAACTCAGCTGCCAGGGCAGAGGTGCCGCAGGGCCCGCGAGCCCCAGCGCGCAGCCCCGGGCCGAGGCAGTAC